GCGCAATCAATTATTTACTCCTTGACATCGTACGATCAATTGGTGAGCTCCAATTAATTTGACATTGCACGGACATCGGCTGCAATAAATATTTGCTTATAGCAGATTAAAAAAACTTTCGTTTATAATTGGCGAAATACGTTCTTAAAAAAAAAAAAAAAAAAAAAAAAAAATTTTTCTAAACGATGGAAATTTTCAAAACTTAAATTTAAAAAATTGCGAAATCCAAAGAAAGAGAAGGAAAGAGAAAAAGAGAATTTACAATTTGAAATTTCATGCTAATGCGAATCTTAAATTCAGTATTGAACAATTAAATCAAATAATTAGACGTATACAGTAATTTATATTATAACTCACTGTAATTCACACTGATTCTAAATGTATATGTATCCTTGTTTTTTTTTTTCAAGGTTCATATAGCTATAAATTAAAGATGAAAATTTTAAGAGGTACTGTTTTATATTCCGGACTATATAGTCCCCACCACACACCGTCCTCGAGCCTTTCGTATCGTTAACCCACCTTAGAGTCAGTCTCGAATCTGACAACCTCGAAAGAACACTCGTGATTTTCGACATTGAGTATCCATACGACAGATTAGCAACAAAAGATGCGAGATAAATATTTCATCACAAAACGCTAAACATCTATCCTTAAAAAAAAATTTATCTCTTTTTTTTTTATTATCGGTCAAAGAAAAAATTCCATGAAATAAATACGGCTATTAAATTATTTAAAAATTAATATACAATCGCAATAACGAAAAGTTGTTAGAATTAATAAGATATTGTTTAGAATTTACGTGCACTCGCTATAACGAAATATTCTAATTAGAGGTATCTTTCTGTGAAATGTCGAACGATACTGTGAATAAGATCAAAGAAGACTGTGTAAAAATACAGGTGCAGCCAGCGCGGAATCATCACAAGGGTATGCCTTTTCATATTTGAAAATGAAATTTTATTTTAGCTATTATCCAGCAAATATATTCTCACAGATCACATTTTTAGAAAGTATGTTTTAATATCTTCAAATTGCTTCTTGGATTTTTTTTTGTGGATTGTGTGTTGAAAAATGCGCAAAAATAAACTCGATAACGCAAAAAGATTATATAAAATTTGCAAAAATATAATAAAATGGAGTTGTAGAATAGTTAACACGCTTTTTTTATTTATTTTTTTCTTATTTATTTTTTCAATATATATGAACTTATTATAAAAAGAGAAGTTTACCTTAATATCTAAATATATTTATTACTTTGAAATTTTGATGTGATCAAGATTTTCAAAAATTAAGTGTCAGAAGAGAGTGATTAAATAAAAAAAAATTTATTCATTTAATTTTAAATGTGTGAGTTAGCATATTTTTAATTCAATGTTTTAATTTGGCACTCAATTATTTAAATCTCGAAT